GGTTTATTTATGTGACATTTTACATTAGTTTGATATGTATGGCATGTTTCACTTCATCTCTTACTAATCGATTATCGGCGATGTTGTGATGAATGCTAGTTTATCTCTGAACTCTTGCAGGCGTTGGTGATACTGCAGATGACAAGACACATAACAAGCATAAATGCTGTTTTTTCTAATAAAATATGGTTTATTTGTTTCACCATAGGTATAAGATTGGCTAGTATGTATTCGTGCGTTGTGTCAAAAAGTCATTTGGTGATAACTTTACTTGAACTGTTTTAGTGTATATTTTGCCAGTTTGTTAATTAAGTTTATTCATTTTGGCCAGAGATGGCGCTGTCTGTATTTGATAGTTTGTATTTTTGTGTGACTAACCCATTTGAAAATTAAATCCTTCTGAATATATTAACTTGTCAAATGTCGTGACACAAATGAGTAACTTCTCCTTGTTGCTGACACAGTTATCGTATTGAGATGTTTGTGGCCAGCTTTCTTTACATGCTAATGTAATTTACACGTGTCAGTGAATGCGTCATGGGGGAGCAGAGGGAGCGGTCGCCCCTCAAAAAAATATTGGGGGCGTCGCCCCTTCAAAATCTATCTGGAACCCTTTGTGTCAACAAAATATGTCCCACAAAGTGCGTGAATTAGCGTTTCAGAGAGTCTATATTTAATTTGTTTAACGGGAGCATGCCCCTCTGCCCCCTCGTAAGGTCGCGCAGGGTTGGCGAGCAGATCCCTCCGTGCACAATTTCGTGCCGCCGCCTCCGCGTCACCATTTTTTTACGGATCACAAACTACACTGGCTGCCAGTGTTGACAGTCTTTATCTAAAACAAAAATCTATTAACAGTCCAAAATTAAACAACTTTGTTATTTCCGCGTTTGTCATAGATTAGTTTATCCAGGTCCGCTGTACCAGACCGATGTGCTCCGTATCAAAAAAGCTGGTAATTCCAAAAACTGGATGAAGGTACAATCCTAGTCAGGTTGCACATCACTGAGGTGGTCAACGTTCTTCAATGCTCTCCCCATGGCTGTGTGTCATCGCCATTAATAAGCGTGGACAATGATTTTAACTTTGCTAACTTGTAAAGTGCAGATGCTAAGTGTTTATTACTGAGATTATATGAAAGTCACCTCGTTTGAAGAGTCATATTTGCAAAAAGTTATTTTCGGGCCAAGAGAACAATTTTGAATAAAATGTGAAGCACAAATCTTGTTGTTATGTTTTCACAAATACGCATACGTACTTTCTATGATTTCCCAAGTAATATATTTATTTAATATTAGGGTTAGTAATTCATTTTGAAAGGTCAGCGAATTCAACTAACAGTGAAAAGGGTATTAATTATTTTATCATTATGAAATGTACATAAATATGTACGATGGTAATTTTTGCATGTCAAAAAGCATAATAAATGTACCTCACTATGTTAAGAGACACATAATACAATGCGGATAATTGAGACCCGTGTCGTTGTTTCTACATGTACTTCAGTAAAATAGTAACCCACAGTTAGGTTCCTTCGCCTATGGTCCTATTTTAGGTTTCAGTTGTAATATTTGTAGAAACTAAAGACACATAACAACTAGTACAATAAAATCAAAGCAATGTGTGCAATTCGTGTTTAATTCACAGTTCTGCAAAATATAACGCATATTGTGAAGAACTGAGGAAAACAAGTTTTGTATTTGATTGTAGGAACTATCTTCTTGAAATATGTTCAATGTGTCGTACACTATGGAGTTATAGACGGGTAAAGGCACTACTTTCTGTGAAACATAGATTTTTAACCAAGATCAACATCAATTGGTCACATATTCAGATTAGGTTATATCAAAGTTCGTTTCTCTAATAATGCCTAAAAGATTCATCTAGCCATTCAATATCACCACCATCACGACATGATTTCATGTTTGGCATCGCAGCAAAATGTACAGTTTGTCTCACTAGCATCAGGTTCATCTTCGTTGCAACTTTGGCCATTCACCGCTTTTTCTGTCTCGCAATCCTATAATAAATGACGACAGTGTTTGCATTAATCTGTATTCCGTAAAGTCAAAATTTAACATGGCAGCGTTGCTTTGACAAACATTATTGAACACGTTTCTTATTATAAAGTCTATATCGAATTAAGCAACCCTTCACAAGAACAACAACAACAACACCGTTACTCATAAATGAAAGTTTATAAGTCAAGAAGGTTAAAAATGAATGTTCGTTTTTATGAATGTTGACATTATTACGTTCTAAATGCGCCATTGGTGGTGCGTAAGTGTATATTCTATCTTCTCAAGTATTGGATTGCAATAGTTTCACATAATATCAGAACATTCAGGTATTTATTAACATATATACGTACCAATTTATTCATGCATCCGAGTGAGATAGTAGTTCTATCAGATGACTGTGTGTATTTAGTAGAACAGATTTCCTGTGTATAAACATAACATATAGAAGCTGTATGATTTGATTCATTTTCGGAACTCATCAAACACAAATCGTGTTTATATATTACACAACGACAATATCACATTATCACAACACATCACAGGCGGAAATAATGTACAGAATACTGCTATATTGAAGAATGAGCTTATTCAACGGTAATACAACTAATGTATTAAATAATATCGGCCTCGTGCATTTACAAGATGCTGACAAAAACTGTGGCCTTTATAGTTATAAACGCACTCCAACTCGTGCGATTAACTATACTTATACATCTGTCACCGTAACGCCATAAGTTACAGCGTGCGTCAATTGTGCGGTAATTAACGGTGGTATTTTCATCCTACCATATTAGAAAATTACAATTCCAAATATGGAATGATTGCGCGCAGTGAGCGTCCTCCAATAATAAAAACAAAGATGAATGCCATCAGGGTTTGACCGCACTCCACACAAGAACGTTCACTGATTCTGCCCTAAACCTTTTGGATTTCACCATTCTCATGGTGTATCCTTGGAAGGAAAATATGTATAATAATAACTCAGACAGTACGCCCGTCGCATCGACCACCGCTGCGCGTGGGTCGATACTCCCGCTGTACTGTCTTCGAGCATACTTTGAGGTATCCTCGTAATAATCTCATAATAATCTAATGAGTTTAACATTACAAGACACGTGATATTATTTACATACACAACAATATATTCGACTTACCAAATGCTTTACTCGGCACCACACTCATTACGACAAATAAACTGATATATATTTTTGGATTCATATTTAGCAAGTAACTAAAACAAAAATAAAAACAGCGATATTATATAGTTATATGGACTTGTATAAATAATTCTTGTTCTGTACCGCTTCCACACAAATTAGTATAGTAAATAAGCAACACTGACAGGCGTGGGCATAATCTGCTTCACACCAAGCTGACTTTTTAAGAATTGTACTCCTTTAAATGCTCGAGACTATACACATTGTAGTGTAAAATAATTAAAATGTAACGTTTTTGAGGGATACAAAACAAGCAGCTTTCAAATTCAACAACACATATATATGTTTGCGGATATTTTTTTCGAGTGCGTATTAGTAATTCAAACGAGTCACTGATAGCGCTGTGGTTTCTACATCAAAGTCCACATTCTACTTTAGGTTGAACGCCAATGAACACCGGAAAGGTTTGACGTCTACAATTGTGCGTGCCTGGACGTTCATATGGTGTTAAACATTACTCTGTATATAAAAAGTGTTTGTATGAAAAAAAAAACGGACTGCGTCTCAGATTTTGTTGCATTTTATATGATATGGTTTGCAATGTATGTAAATTGTGTAAAGTAAATGGGTGTGCCATATGTCTCTCCTGTGAACTAGTGAGGGCGCTCTCTAGTGGAAATCACTGGTTAATTGCGTATGTCATCGGTTATAAACTTGGCTCGTCGTGGTTGCAAAATATCTCTTCGACATGGCAGGTGTAAACTCTTATCCTACATGAAAGATATTCTTACAGTTGCTCGGAATTACTTACATACAGCGATGTTATGATGTGTAATTCTCGAGATACATTCTTGTTACTGTCAGTTATGCGCTCACATTGTTCATTGCTCAATTTTACTGGAGTAGGTTTCTGTAGATTCAAGCTAATAATAATTATGCATTTGTATATATTTGTGCACTTTCGAGACAATGGGAAGTACTCAGGCGTTGTCGTGTTTTTTTTTGTCTGTTCCACATCACGCTATTGTTAACAATATGTAAATAACAATGCTATACCCGGCGTTTTTTTTAAACGCACTGGTCCTGGGAGTAATGAAATTTGATATTTTGTGGATATCCACATTGCTGTTCACTGTAAGTGAATTTGCTATACTGCAGACAAATTTCATAAGGCCAATTTAAGTACAATCAGCATAAACCCAATCCCCAATTTCAAACATGTAATGACAGAATACCGACTCAATTTGACCCTTTACTAACACTGCTGGCATAGACTAATTGTTGTCACGCCAAGGTCGCTTTGTGGTATTAGCTGCCGGCCGGTCTGGTGACTGTCACGATAGTGCAAGAGTTTGTCATTTTTCAGCGCGAAAAATGAGCTAGCTTATGTTTTACCTCAAGGTTTGTAATTTAACCCTTTGGGCGGGTGTTTGCTTTGAAGAGCAAGCATATGTTCTGGCTCAAGTTTTGAGCCTTTGACCGCGTGCTTGCGTTAACGTTTTAATGTCATAGTCCATATTTAACCATTGCAACATTATATTTATGAATAGGAAACAGAAAAGCAGTGTGGCATTAATGTGCCGAGTATACTGCACATAATTGTTCTGAAGATGATAATGCACATGATCTTTATGAACCAAACATTTTGCTCACAAACTAATATTATTTTTATTCACGTCTTGATTATCGATAGATAATATATTACATGCATTACGTGCGCATTAATATAACCATACGTATCTGATTATCAGTAACATACAATATCATCTGTGGGTATATTATAAATTTAGTTAAGTATTCTTTCATGTATAACTGTAAAACAATATTGATGAATTCTTTTTAGCGGGGAGTTGCCCTTTTTACAGCGACAAATATACAAGGTTTTGGTAGAGATATGAATCTGGTTGCGATGGAAAACGGTAATTTGGGTATGTCGCTCCACCAATTAACACTACTTATTTAGCTCGAAACAGGAGTTTCACAATTTTATTCTTTATAACTTTTTTTGAAGTTAACTTCTCATCCAAAAATCGCCGTTATTGAAAATTAAACAAATCATGAATATTTGAAATACAGATGATGCAGCAATTATTCCCTGTACAAATGTGTCAACTCCAACACATTAGTTTAGAGTTCAAAGTTGTTCCATTTCAAAGTGAGCATGGACACACACTGTGATTTCTCGAAATGCTTACTAATTAGGTAACTTGTCGCAGGTAAAAAATATTAAAAACATTTTAAGAAATTTTGGACAATAGTACTAGGGTGAAAAATCAATGTACTGATGCATTTTCCGTGAATTCAGTGACTTGCTATGATCGCGTTAAAGAAAAAAAAGATGTGGTTACATTCAACAGTTCGCTGGTGTGTCTCATAAAGAAATGTGTCTTATAAAACACTTACATCAGCTTTGCGATTATTTTTTTCAACTCGTAATGATATAATCAGTGAATTTATAACTGTTGGCAATAGGAATGCATTTTGACACAGTTTTTACCTTGCCCGTACCATCAAAGATGGAAGGGAAAGGTATATTGAGGGAAACATTTACACATTCACATACACATACACATTCAAAGGTCACTGATCTTTGTGGAAATTTGCATTGTTGTATGTGTTCAATGAAGCAAATCATTTATCTTGTAATAATATCCTTGGTAATGTATCTCCCAAATCCCATGGGAATACTAGACTGGGTTTCAAAACCAACTCATGGAGAGAGTTTTTGCACAGTCTGATACACATTTGCAAACCTAAAATCTGTTCAGAAAACAAGATTAGCACTCCTATGAACTGGGTGCCAAACTTTGATCAAGATATGAAGCTAAAAGAAAATATGTTTAGTTCAAAGTTATCAAATCAAAATCAGTACATAAAAAAATACATAAAAAGCAAAACGTTGCATCCACATTTTTAAAAAAAATGTACTAAAAAATGTGTATTCTGTTCATTCGACAAATGAAAATTCACAGGGATTTGTTTCAGCTATTAGAACAGAATGATAGAGCTTTCATAATACTAATTTAAAAACGCACTTGGAAATTATATCCCTTAAAATAATTAAACATATTTGGCACCAATGTTTTTGCAAGATATTGACATATATCAAGGACATTCGGTAGACTGTTGTTTCAACCCCAAGACTAGTTAATTAATTATGACAATGCATATTCATATTGAAACAAACTATTATAAAGAGAATAATATTATATAACTAAGGGCAAGGTTGCAAGAGTTCAACTATGTTACTTAAAATGAGTTTTTCGTTGCTCATGGATATTAATTTATGCAAACGAGATGATTTTATGCAGACAACCCCACCCGCTATGATGAACATTATATGCGCTTCTGTGCTCATTTAGATGGGACACTATACTCACCATACCGTCCCAATAAACTTAATAAATGCAACAAGAATATGTTACACAATTATAGTTTAAACAACGTACTTTATTCCACAGGTGTGCGGGGATGGCAGGGAGTTCCTAACACGTTACAATGGTAGTGGTTTATGTTATATTATTCTTCAAACTTAATGAAAACAAATCTTTTATTGACGACAGTGTTCCAACGAGTCTCCGGTAACGATGGTGACGACAGTAATGTGGAACGCAGTCAGTAGTGAAATTGTAATACACGCTGTACACTCAGTCGAACACACTACCAATCAACTGCAGTGAGTGTCTGTCCAATATTCGCAACTCGTGGAAGGAGAGCTGTCCACGTGGATTCCTTTACACCGCAAAACACCTCAGATTCCGGCGACATAAATTAGAAAGAGCATACAGTTCAAAACCAAGATCAACATCATTTGGTCACATATTCAGATCAGATTACATCAAAGTTTGTCTCTCTAATAATGCCTAAAAGAATCATCTCGCCATTCAATTCTGATCCATGGCCAAAAATAACATTGTCTACATATTGTCACGTATAAAACACCACCATCACGACATGCAACATGCTTTCATGTTTGCCATTCATTGCATGTTGCAATACACGTCATCGCAGCAAAATGTACAGCTTGTCTCACTAGCATCAGGTTCGTCTTCGTTGCAACTTTGGCCATTCAACGCATTTTCTGTCTCGCAATCCTAGAATAAATGACGACAGTGTTTGCATTAATCTATATTCCGTAAAATCAAAATTTAACATGGCAGCGTTGCTTTGACAGACATTATTGAAAACTTTTCTTATTGAAAAGTCTATATCGAATTAAGCAACCCTTCACAAGAACAACAACAACAACACCGTTACTCATAAATGAAAGTTTATAAGTCAAGAAGGTTAAAAATGAATGTTCGTTTTTATGAATGTTGACATTATTACGTTCTAAATGCGCCATTGGTGGTGCGTTAGTGTTATGCTGGCATGTATATTCGATCTTCTCAAGTATTGGATTGCAATAGCTTCACATAATATCAGAACATTCAGGTATTTATTAACATATATACGTACCAATTTATTCATGCATCCGAGTGAGATAGTAGTTCTATCAGATGACTGTGTGTATTTAGTAGAACAGATTTCCTGTGTATAAACATAACATATAGAAGCTGTATGATTTGATTCATTTTCGGAACTCATCAAACACAAATCATGTTTATATATTACACAACGACAATATCACATTATCACAACACATCACAGGCGGAAATAATGTACAGAATACTGTTATATTGAATAATGTGCTTATTCAATGGTACTACAATTAACGTTTGTTACGTACATCTTTGTAGCAATGGTTCGGGTATTTGCCAGCATTACATCCAAAGTAGTCTGGGTATTCAGCGTCATACGTATAGGTACAGTGGTAACAGATTTGACCTGTTAAAAATAGTATTACTCGTTGTCAAGTATATATATATTGATATTTGTCATAATTGCCTTTTTCTTTCTACACATATCTACTTATTCAAATATTAATTCTACAAAATTTTACGAAACAGGAAAACACAGATAATAAAGCGCACCTATCATAGGTATGACACATACAATTCATTGATCTGAGACCGAACAGACATATCACGTAGAAGGCAAGGACTAAATGCTTAGTGAAAAATAGCAAAGTATATATCATACCACAGTCAGTTTCATCAGAATTATCGGAGCATTGAGGAGATCCATTACATCGTAGATAATCCGAAATACAACTACCATCACCACACTGGTAATGGTACCTCGGATTACAAAATCCTGTAAGTTAAAATAAAATTCGTGACTATGACTAATCAGTGTCCAGCATCAGCTTTTTCCATTATTGTTTAAATAAATGCACACGCATCATTATGTCATGACCCGGAGAAGACAGTTTTATTTGGAATGTGATCAATGATGGCGCCTTTAGTAATCAACTGCTGGTGGATAATATCAGGTTTTGATAATTGAACAATATTGTCGGTCATACCTGAAAGGGGTTCTGGCCGTAAACTTTTCTAGAATGAAATTTGTTGAGGCACTACCATAAATCCCAACTATAAAACAATATTAGAAATCATATGTCCCAAGAAATTGTTTGAAACAAGGTCAACTATTGAGATTCATTTCATATTAAACATTATTATACATCTGTCACCGTAACGCCATAAGTTACAGCGTGCGTTAATTTAGCTGTAATTTACAGGGTATTTTCATGATACCATATTAGAAAATGCGAATTCTAAATATGGAATGATTACGCCCGTAAGGGTCCTCTAATAATAAAAACTCCAGACAAAGACATTCACTGATTCTGCTCTAAACCTTTTAGATTTCGGCTTTCCAATGGCGTATCCTTAGAAGGAAAAGAAGTATAATAATAAGTTAAACTCAGACAGTACGCCGTCGCATCGACCTCCGCTGCGCGGAGGTAGATACTCCGCTGTACTGTCTTCGAGCGTACTTTGAGGTATCCTCGTAATAACTTCATAATAATCTAATGAGTTCAACATTACCAGTCACGTGATATTATTTAAATTACATACACAATAATATATTCGACTTACCAACTGCTTTACTCAGCAACACACTCATTACGACAAATAAACTGATATATATTTTTGGATTCATATTTAGCAAGTAACTAAAAAAATAAAAACCTGTATAAATAATTCTTGTCCTGTACCGCTTCCACACAAATTAGTATAGTAAATAAGCAACACTGACAAGCGTGGACATAATCTGCTCCACAACAAGCTGACGTTTAAAGTAGCGAGACAATTCGTTGTGTAGAAATTTAGTATTTTTTATATTTATTGATTCAATTAATGAAAGCATTGTACTCCTTTAAATGCTCGAGACTATACATTGTCGTGTAAAATAGTTAAAATGTAACGTTTTTGAGGGATACAAAACAACACAACAAGCAGCTATCAAATTCAACAACACATAGATATATGTGCGGATAGGTTTTTCGAGTGCGTATTAGTAATTCAAACGGTTACTGATAGCGTTGTGGTTTCTAAGGCTCGACGTCTACAGTTGTGTGTGTATGGGCTTTTCTTACGGTGTTAAACATTACTCTCTATATAAATAAAAAGTATGAAAAAACATGATCAGCTTACCTCTGCAATTCATACGATCCAATTGGTGCCAGGAGCAAACTGACTGCGTCACAGATTTTAGGTGCATTTTATATGATATGGTTTGCGATGTATGTAAATTGTGTAAAGTAAATGGGTGTGCTATATGTCTCTCCTGTGAACTAGTGAGGGCGCAGTGTAGTCGAAATCACTGGTTAATTGCGTATGTCATTGGCGTTATAAACTTAGCTCGTCATTTTTGCAAACAATTTCTGACATGGCAGGTGTAAACTCCTATCCTAAATTAAACATATTCTTACAGTTCGTTTGCTCGGAATTACGTACATACAGCGATGTTATGAAAATAACAACAGTATTGTGTAATTCTCAATATATAATCTTGTTACTGCCAGTAATAAACTCGCATTGTTCATTGCTCAATTTAACTAGAGTAGGTCTTTCTAGATACAAGCAGGAAATAATTATTGTTATGTGCAATGACATTTATATATATTTGTTTTTGAGAGTTTACAGGCGTTGTCGTGTGTTTGCCTGTTTTTTTTACAAATCCACAATGCCGTGAGCTGTTAGTGAATTTGGTATACTGCAGACAGATTTCATAAGGCCAATTTAAGTAACTCAGCGTAAACGCAATTTCAAAGATGTAATGACAGAATACCGATTTAATATGGCCCCTTACTAACACTGCTGGTACAGACAAATTGTTGTCACGCTAAAATGGCTTTGTTGTATTAGCTGTCGGTCAGTCTGGTGACCGTCATAATAATGCAAAAGTTTGTAAATTTTTCGAATGAACAAGCATATGTTTTTGCTCAAGGTTTGTAATTTGAGCTTTTGAGTGCGTGTTTGCTTTGAAGAGCAAGCATATGTTTTAGCTGAAGGTCGCGCTGTATTAGCTGTTGACCAGTCTGGTGGCTGTCATATTAATGCAAGAGTTGGTAAATTTGTTAGTTGTCTAGAATGAGCATATTTTTTTATCTCAAGGTTTGTAATTTGAGCCTTGGAGCACGTGTTTGCTTTGAAGGTTTAATGCCACAGTCCATTTTTAATCGTTGCAGCATATACATTTATAAATAGGAATAAAAAAACGCAGTGGCATCACTGTGTTGTGTGAATTATCGATAATTACATGTCATGTTTTTTTGAACTTTCAATAACAAGCAAGTGCTAAACTACCGTGGGCACTCAGCTTTGCCATTCAGGGGGGAGTAATATTAAGCAATTGTTAAGTGCTACCGGGGAGTATATGAATATTTCTCTTCTCGATGGGAAAATTATTCACCGAGGTGCAGAAGGTGTGAAAGTTTACTTCAAAATCATGCGTTGAATTTAATTATGCCCATGGAGTCAGCGGCACGAACTGCAGCGCATCAAAAACTTAGCAGGTAGACATTTATCCTATTTATTGTCAATTATATTTTGGATGACATATAGTCATCTGCATACAATGCTGACGACCTGATTGCGTTTGTTTACGTATTCAAATTGTGCGTTTTTTGTGTTATTTTATACGTTTCAGATGGCGACGGCACGAAATTTTGCATAAGGGGGCAAGATCTGTAATCTAAACCCTCTGAAAAGCTATTACCCCTGCATTTTGAGGAGCAAATTTTGCTGACACAAAGGGTTTTAGCTTGATACGGGGGACGTCGCGCCCACCCCCACCTCAACTATTTTATTTTTGGGTGACCCCCCCCCCCCGCCGCCACTGCGTTCAGGGTGAACGAATCTTGTCAGCTTCTCGCGAGGCACAAATAAAATATAATTGAGGTTTTCAGCATCTTTATGGACAATATTGTTTTGATTGTCGCAGTGATTGAGTTTGTCGAGCCTGTACTTGGACTTTCAATAATTTGCTTTGAAATATCCAAATTTGGCATCAAGCTTGGCGTGTGCGCTTGGTTCGACCTACTTGCAGACGAATGTTAGCGTGATTTACATAAACTGAGAGGTATACTGTGATTCACCCAATGACAAACAAATGCAGTGCAATCAAGTTTTTACGCAGACCAGGATTGATATTCGATGTTTCAAAATTTACGGATGATAACATCTCGATTCACATCTTGCTTAAATTACACATTGTTTCGTCTTTAGCGTGTTTTTCTGTGTCATCTACCAAATTTGCTTCGAATGTCAGTTTACATCGCGTTTACAACTGACCAGCTGTTTTGAAAAATGTACCAATATGTGTTCCATTGAAGTTATATTAATAATAAAAAACATACATAAAAAATGTATATTCCTTACCTGGTAAGTGTTCACCACATGATAACACACTAATAAGCCCATGTCTTCATTAGTTAGATAATGCGACTAGCACTATCAGCCAATCAAGCACCTCAATTGAATTGAACACAGTAATTTAACATGAAACACGAGATTCAAACCTGTACCACGACAAGCGCCAACATATATTTTAATGTATTGTGTGGTCATTTGTTCATTTTCAGTGATCAGAACGGTTCAAGTGACTGTCAAATATGCATCCATTCCTTCTCCTCTTTTCTCTAGAAGGCTCTTCTTCATAAATAACAATGATTAGATTATATATATATATACCGTCAAGAGTAGTGGATGCAGTATTATATTGGTTTCTTGGACTTTGAGTTGCGGTAATCTATATACTCACGAACTGCTGAGTGGTGACGCACATATGTGGTGGAATCATACACATTTACCAAGTTACCATGTTTACCACATTTACCACATTAAATAATACTAGTAATTCAATATGGCGATGTGTGGACTATTCTTTTGTAAATATTGAAACAAACCATTATTTCATTTACACACACAAAAAATGTAAATCAAATTTCTTGTTATTCATGTAGAATTACGCTAAACATGTACCACACTTCCAAAGTGATAATTATTTCAATGTGTTTTGAAACAAAATGAGCAATACTGTAAATTGCAGCTGGCAAAATACAGACTGAGTTGATAAGAGACACTAATATTAGTCTATCAACTATCATACTGTCCATTAAACATTGAACAGTTAAGGGTAGATGATACCGATTCCGTTTCACCCATAATTTGCTGTATTGATTATGTGTGGCAGGTTTAACAAAATAAACGAAAATGCACAGCAATGCAGCTACCAACATTGAAGGCATACAACACTTATTGTTGATACAATAAAAAAACAATTCTTCCCCAAACTGGTTATGCAGCCAGAATTAAAAGAAACGATATAAACAGGTTGTACTAGCTATGTAGATGGCATAACAAAATTCATATAATTGTTACTCACATTTCACCAGCAAGGCAGGTTATTTGACACTGTGCATTGCTATGACAACACTAATTTATTCATTTGTAAAATAAATACATTTACAATATGTAGCAATGCATGTTGCCATTTAATTAAAAACGCCAATGTATGCAACGGTGTGCGTTCGTTTCTAAAAATAAAATGCATTCAGCGTATGTGCTGCTATAAATTACTTGTTTTGCGTAATCATCAATATCTCACTCGACATTGCATTGTTAGATTTCATTTTAGATATAATCCGATTGGTCGGCTTTTTAGAAAATGAATATTGAACACAATGTCTACTTTGGTCAAGACATTTCAACTTAATATTTTCTTCCTGATATCCATGCCCCCCGCATATTGTAATCGAACCGTTATTGAACGATTATGAGTTATACATTTGTCTTCTTGTCAGGACTACTTGTCCGCTAGGTATTGTGGGGGAATGCAGTTAAAAACCGGACTCCTTGAGCGGGGGTATACAAATGTCAGACACGGAGACAGCAATTCGTCTAAGAAACTAATAAACTAATGGTTTATTCAACAGCGAATGCTGGAACATAGTAACGAGTTACAAACTGAAGAAATACATATCGAGAAGCGTGTGTTTCATTCTTATATACCCTTAAATCGAACGTCATAGGAAACATAGCCCACAAAAACAGAGTGAAAAAAGGCGGGAAAGCTTGAAGGACAAACTTACGATCAGTGATTGGCCAT